TTGCTTCCAACAGTTCTTATGAGCCACCATGTATTTGAAAGTCAACCAAGATCAGATGTTAAGGTTTAGCTTTTTGTAGTTGAAACCCACTAGTGGGCTCATAATCAGCTGTCAGGCTTTTTATAAGGGAAATATAAAATATTAAGTTGCCCACAAATACCAGCTGTAAACCACTGAAGTCTGCAACAGTTCAATAACTTTACAGTAACAAAGTTTAGTTGAGTAAGGGGGTAACCTGTGGCAATGGGCTTTTTTTGCAGCAGTGCTAGACCTACTCTGAACAGGAGGAGGAAGTGTTACATAGTAGTTCGTCAAGGTTTTAGTCTATTTTACTTCAAATGGCAGACGAGCCTTGAGGGAAAGCTTGCTTGAACAGGTAGGTGTTCAGAAGGTAAATACTGCTTTTTTAATGCGGAGGAAGCAGTTATCAATAAAATCCAAAGGGTTTAAGGTAAGTTTACTTCATGAAGAAGGGTTGTGTTACAGCTTAGGGTGCTGTCCAAGTAGCTTTACTTGCTGAAATGGAAGCTTTAATGTAGCTCCTAATGTTCAGGATGATTTAATAGGATGATTGACCTTATATGCAGTGTAGGCTGTGTCATTCTACAGGAGTGGAGGAAAAAACAATCTAAGGATGTGTGTTGATCAAAGAGCATTCAAGAAAGTCTTTCTCAGTACAGAGTACTGCAGAACTTGCTGTGGGGATAGTGCTGAATAGTGGGAATGTTCCTGGGGCTGAAGGAAGAGAGGAATGGAGTTGATGTGTGGGATTGGTCTCACAGACTTCAAAGGGGGAAAGAAAAAATCTGTTCCATATGTGTGACAAGAATGAAAGTCTGTGTACACCTGCTCATGCTGAGGGAATGCGTTGTGCTGAGAATTAAGGCTTATCACAATGGGGAAAACAAGAGGATAGTGACTCTTTGCCTTGTGTGCCCCTCAGCTGACTAAGTTGACTGGGGAGAATTCTGATCTGCTGATGGCTGTGCTTTGGTAGAACTTTTGTTAACACAGGTAAGGGCATAAAAAGCAGATGGGAAACAACATGCAAATAGAACACCAAGCTATTTATGCACTGTTTGCTCCAGAGTTAATTCTTCCCGATGCCTTTGCAGTCAGGTCACCTGGCATGCCAGTGCCAGTTAATGATGCACCAGGGTCAAAAAACTGAACTGCAAACACAGAGGAAATGAAGCTGGAAAATCTGAAAAAATGTAGGCCATGCCTCAAAGGTATTCCTTGAGAGGAGCATGATTCAGAGGCTGTTACATACTGTGGAAATGCCCTGTTGTTTGTGTGGTGGTATTTTCTTTTTTGTTGTTGTTGATGTTGTTTTGTGGGCATTTTTAAATGTATTTGTTTTGTTTCTTTACTTTAATTATTCTTAAATATAGTTGACCTACCTGTCTGTATCAAGGATCATCTATTTCTTCTACTTACAGTTAAAATGTAGGGATTCTTTTCCACCTACGTCTCGTTATCATTATCCCTTGTTTTTGATAAGGGAACAGAAGTAGTTCTTTCTTCTATTATAAAAGTAGGTATGGTCTTAACATGCATAAGCCAACTCAACAGTTTATTTGGTTTTTCTATACCATTTCATGGCTTAAGATTTTTGCTACCGATAACTATAAGAAGTGCATTTCAATGTTGCAGACCAAATAGTTGTTACTAGTTGTTGGTAGTAGTGTATCTTACATGCTATTTCAGTTCTGGTAATGTTTTGCTTATGCCTTAGGTTGAAACTATAAGAACACTGTATGGCTTCCATTTTTAATAGCAAAAATCAGTGAAAATTTTACCATTATGGAAAATGTAGAATAATTGGACTGACTTGAATCTTAGGGCTCGAGCTTTTTAAACAATCTATGATGTATTCTTTCTTCATGAAGTCTATGGCAAATTAAACTGCAGTGGTAAAAGATTAAGATCTCACACTGTAACTTCATTTGACCCTGGCACAAATCTTGTAGACAGGCTAGGATGAGTTTCTTTTTTCTTTTTCTTTTCTTTTTTTTTGGTTGGTTTGTTTTGGTCATTGTAAACTCCAAGCTTAATCATCATTATTGCTGATATCTGAGTGCCAGACTGCACTCAGTTGTGGTGAAGTCTATGCAAAACTGTGTGTAGGTTTTTGTTTTGTTCATTTAACCTTTCAGTTACAGTAAGTGAATGCACCAGCATGTTAAAATGACATAAAAAGGAGCTTAATTCCAAATTGGTTTGCAGATGAGGTTTAGGGAACACATGAGAAAACAATTATATATGTTTACCGATTTGAAGAGTCGTTTCCTCCAACAAATGAGTGCAGTTACCCGTTCTCATCCGTGTAGTCGAGATTATGTTTAATTAAGGGTGACATTCATATTAGAAGAGACTCTGTTCTTGTGTCTAGAAGCATTTGGGGAATGTGGCAATTATGCTAAGAAATCAGTCCTATTTCTTTGAATGTTGAAAATATACCTTTCAACAAGCTTAAACGTCAACATATCCAACTGCTCCTTCTTCAACAACGTGAGTTACAGTAGAAAAATGAAATTAGATACTATGACAAGTGCTTTTTATTTAATGCTGTAGAAGAACATGCTTCTTCTCATAAAAAAAATAAACGCTTTTGATTCAACGTAAATTATTTTAAGCATTTCTTGAACAGTTGCATATTTCTTAGTAGTAGTACATCTATTCTGCTGACCGAGTCTGATGTGAGGTGGAAAAAAAGACTGGTTTAAGTAGCAGCTGTACTGTAGGCTGCATGTATGTGTGGAATTGCGCGGTAAAAAATTATTAAATTGTGCTAGCCAGGTCAACATTGTCAAATGTTCTTACTTGTATTTGATGGAAAGATCAAAGATTATTTTTCCTAGTTATTTACACATCAGCATTTTAACGCTGTTGTGTTTTTTTGTTTGTTTTCCCCTGTAGGATAGTATGTGAAAGATTTCATATCATTTAACTGTTCTACTTTGAAAGCTTTCGTATTTCCTTTGCATTAATATTTGTGAAGCACTTACAGGCCATTCAGTGTTAGCCAGCCTAGGCAGCATTTCTCAGAATGCAGAGGGGACACCTGAAGCATTCCTGGATTCCTTTTTGTTCCTGTAGAAGTATTCAACTTGAAACACTTACCTTTTTTTTTTTAGGAATTATTTCAAGGTCAAGGTTTCTGATGAATGTGCATAAAAATGGGACTGTTAGTTTCCTTTATCTTGTTGAGTTTTATTAGAAATGGAAAAGAAATGGAGCCTTTGTATATATAGTAGAGAACACGTTAATGCAGGGGCTATGATAAAACTTAATTTCACAGGACAATTCTCTACTTTCTCTTGTAAATTTATGATCTCGTTGTCTTTAGGAAATGCCAAACCTCGTGACTGATTTTTCATATCAGACTGTTTTCATCCGTAGACAACAAAACTTGTTGGCATGTGTTTACAATCTTGTGATCTTCAGAAAAATACTCGGTTTTCTATTGGCATAATTATTAACCCAAGAGCTTGCATGTTTGTATTTTTTAATTATATTTAGTGATGTCTTACCATGCATAAAATATGAATCAGATGGAAAAAAAAATACTCCAATGTTAAGTTTTGCTTTTTTTTGAAGTACTTCTTGTATCTAGGAAACTGTCAGAACATACTTGTGGTGTGAAATTGAAGAAATATACCTGCTTTAAAGTTAAGTTTGCTGGATTTTGTTTATGCAGAAATAAGCCTGACTGAGTACTAGGGGTAAAATCTAGCTGTTTCTCATTCCTGGTGATCAGCACTAAGTCAAATAGAAGAGTCTGGGCAGGAAAAAAGGAAAATTAACAAAAGATGCTCAACCAGGAGGACTTCTGGAGGTGCCTGGTAAGGGCAAATCCAAAGGAGAGAAACAGCACAGAACCTATGGCATCCCCATTTCAGCAGTTGCTGCTTTGAAGATGACACCTCTGAAATGAGAGAAATACTCTGCGTTAGGAAATGAGGTGTTATTCTGCAGTTACCCTGCAGTTCAGCGTCCTGAGAGTAAGCTTTAAGTAAGATTCTTAAGAGTAGGATTGAATTATGGGTTCCTTCATTTTTAATTTGATGTATTTTAGACTTAAATAGAATTTGACTCAAGCTGAAGAGCGTTTTGTTTTAATGTCTATTAAGATACATGTTTTAGATATGAAATTCTTTTGTGTTTTTGATGTGCTCGTTACAAAAAAACTGGACAGCCCAAGATCTGATTGCAGTGGGTTTTCTTTTTTGTAGATAAGATGCCAATTTCTTACTAATTTGGAATCTAGAGCATAAATTATCACAAATTGAAACAGTGCAGGAAGTAATATTTGGTATGTGACTACATGAGGAAAATGTGTTGACACATAACAGATGCGTTAGAAAATAGAGGATTCAAGTGAAGATAGAAGATGCAAATTGGCAATTTGTGATAAGCATGGGCAACAGGTTGGTGTTATGAACAGTATCTTCTGATTACTGGCATTTCCAAAAAATGGGTTGTTGAGCCTGCCTGGTTAGGATGCTGGGAGGGAGCAGATCTGTAACTACAAACCTTTAATTTGTGAGGGTTGCCCTATGCTTTCTAGTTTTCCCATCAAGCCGTAGTTAGCCAAACTTTGTGCATTAGGCTGTGTGCATCACGCATCACTTGGGCTTGGAATAACTCCAGAGTTGAGTGTTCATTTGGGGCAGAGTACTGCATTTCAGCTGTACCATACAAATCAGGTCTTGAATGTATTTTTGGCTCTCAAAAGTTTGTTGTCTTGAGGGAGATGTAAAAGTATAGCATATGAGCACCTGTATAGAAGTTGGAAGACTTCTTGTGAGAGAGCAGTGAAGTAAACAAAGAGGAAGAGGCAGGACAAAGGATCCACTTCTTTCAGATTTCAGTAGAAATATTAGTTTGTACAATTTGAGTAGCTGATAGATACTGCACTGATGGAGATGCTTTCTCCTATCAGGACTTTGGATGTCATTTACAATGTCTCAGTGCTGTGTTTTTTTCTCTTACAGTGATCTAGAAAAAAATAATATAACGAGAATCACAAAGATGGACTTCTCAGGACTGAAGAATCTCCGTGTCTTGTGAGTATAACACAGAACTCACCCCTCTTTAGAAGATTATCTTGGGCTGCTTGTACTAAGGATGCTGATAGTCGTAGAGATCAAGTGTTAATAACTTCTGCACACTACTGAGTTAGTGGTAGTATTTTGGAGTAGGCAATTGGAATGGTTTGTGACATGAAGTTAATTTTAGTTCTGTGTTCAAGTCTGAATGTAGTCTCAGAGCTGTTTGATTCTTTGGGTTTCTTAATGGCTTTTAACAAATACTGCTGTAAGAGTTTTGGTCCACCTCACAATTTGCTTATGCATAAATAAACTTTACTGAAACATGAGAAAATAGGACTTTCAGATCTTGTTAACATCAGTACGTTTGCACAAGATTAAGAGTAACTTCAGAACAGTTATTAGCTGTGGAAGTTGTACACAAGGAAACCTATGAGGGTTTTTTTTGTTTTGTTTTGGTTTTGGTTTTTTGTTTTTTTTTTTTTTTTTTAAATGAAGTAATAAATACAAAAACGGTGGGGGGGTCTCTTGATCTAGAAGTATCAGTCAGGAGTTCAGCTTTAGTTCCAAATGGGCCTTGGACAACAGAAGGTGAAACATTAATCACATTAATCTACAGGTTTTTTTTTTCTAAAACCAGCCTGTTTAAAGCCAATTAGTTCTTAACTTCCTTGTTTTGGCTTTATGAACCTCAAAAAGGAGCATGCAGTTAGTGATGAAATATAGAACTATTTCATAGATATCTGTTATAGCTGCACGTCTATTTGTTTGTTTTTTGTTTTTAAATCTTGGATCAAATGAACAGGAAATACATTTGATGCTTTGTCATTAGCTTATTATTTCTCCTTAGTTACTCTAACAACTATGGCATATTTATGCTAGGCTTTGAATGAGATGGGAATGTCATATCTGGGGTTAATTAGCAAGGTGTGTCGTTAAGGTGTCTTTGAATATCATGTAGAGTACATGAGCATTTACCTTAGAGCTTCAGTAAATTTAAGTATACGAGCGAGTAATCCATTGTTATCTTCATTAATGGTGAGTAGAAATGTTTCAGTTCTTCCAGGAAAAGTCAAAGGTTCTTTCTGTTTGAAGGGAATTCGTTTGTCCCTTGAATCTTGTCTGACTGACTTTCTGAATTACATCAAACAATCTAGATTCCCTCCAGATCAGTATGGAGGCAGACAAAGATGTTGGTGTCTCCCCATAAATACAGAGGGAATCTGCTATTTCCTTGTGAAAAGCAAGTTTTATGCATTACTTTCATACACAGATCTGAATATACGGATTTTGTTATTTGTGCACCTATGAAGTGGGGGAAAAAGCTAGATGAGAGCAACAGTCCTGAATGCAATGTGATGAGTTAAGGTTAAGCTGCAAGGTTCTGGGTTTTTCCAGAGCTCTCTTAATGTACCTATGGCCTTCTGCCTGCGTGTAGCTTGTATTTGGGCACTGAGTGCTACTGTGGAAATGCAGATTTGCAAGTGTTAGTAGAAACATTGCAAACATCAGAGAAGGTCTGATGTGTTGATGTGTATTAAAAAGCTATGACTAAGATGTTTTTTTGAAAATGTTTCTGAAATATGATTTTTTTTCTTTCTGCTAACAGTAACCAAGAGGGCAAAATTCAAATTTTCACTTAAATATTAGTTTTCTGAAAGAATTACCTGGTTCTGTTTATGAGGTGCCCTTTCAAATGACTACATGCTGTGTATGTCACCTACTTCACTGAAAGCAGTTTATAAACTGTTGTACCTAATGCCTAGTTTTAGTAATCAAGGCAGGAACGTAATTTTGAGTCCCAGTGCTGATAGAGCCAGTTTGGTTTTCATGTTCTTAACACTCCTTTCCTGAAACAGCTCTCAGAAGTTAAACACATGGATCTGCCAGCACCCCTTCAAAACTTCGGTTTGATTGCCCTCTGCAGTTGGTCTTTTCCTTTGATTGCCTTTTAAAATAAGTCCTCAAAACTGCTGCATTAAATTATTGATAATTCAGTTGGTAAATTAATTGAAATCTGCCAGGGAAAAGGCAAGTTTTTTCTGCTTCTATCTAAGTACTATTGAACCAAGAGAGCGTTTCTGACCTAGCAGTGAAGTCATTTAGATTTACTTGGCTCCTATTGCAGTGGTCAATACCGGCAAGGCTGGAAGTCTGCATTATAGTACTGTTTACACGTACAGTAGATGGTTTTGTTGCCTTTTTCTACTGTCTGTAGTTAGGTACTACCTAAGCCACTACAGACACTTAAACTGAACATCCTTAACTAAAAGCAAAATATGCAATTGTCAATCTTGATTTGAACTGTTTGTTTTGTGCTTGTTTTAGGTTGTGTAACACCTTGAGCCATTCTGAATGGTGTCTGGTGTATTTCTCCTAAGAGTCATCAGGAATAAAAGCGGAACATGCCTATTAGAAACCCCATAGTTTCTAACGGTTTTGTCTTCTGACGAAAGTCTTATGACTGTCTGTAACCCAGGATATGCCATTTCGGCATTTGCTAATCTGTTCTTTGTAGGTCTTTGCCATGTATTTCACTTTTTCATGTCCCTGACGTATCTATTATGTGGTTGAGTTTTTCTTCCACTTTGTACTGCTGAACTTTGGGTCTTCAGAAGTCCTTCACATTTTCCTTCATTTTACTTAGCTAGAGTTAGGAAGGCCATAAGAGAAAGCTATTCTCCGTTATTAACAACCTGCTCTTTTCCTTTTTTTCTCCATGTGCGACGGGAATATAGTGGGAGGAGCGGAAATAGGAAACCTGTTTCAGAGTGCCTAGACAGGTGGTCTAGTCTTCTTTAGAGACTTCATGATGAGGAGAACAAATAAATGACTCAGAATCTGGCAGAGTGGTAGAACACAAGGAAGCTGCCAGTCTCAAACTGACAACAAAGATGGAAAATATTCCTTTTTCTTTTGTATCTTATAACTTCATTTTTTTTTCTCCCTCTTCCTTTTAGGAGCAGACTTCATTTGTTTGCCTTTCTTTTTGATTTTTTTTTTCCAATCAGTTTTCATTGCTGTGGACTTGTCTTTTGCTGTCTTTCTTCACAATCACTGTTCAGTTGAGAATCCTAGGATTGGGTGCAGAGTGGCTACTGCGGAGAGGAGTGCATTTCCACTTATCACAGTCTGGTCTGAAGCCAAGCTTACTACAAATTACGTTCTTCCTTTCTGTTATCTTAGCTAAAGCCATGTACAATATTCTGAGGGCCCGGAGTGCATACTGTTATCCGAAGCAGAACTTGGTGTGTGCTGGAAGTCAGCACTGAGAGAGAAGGTTAACTTAAATGATGTATCTGCTGTACTTTACCTGTGAAGAGCACTTCTGCTGTGTGAATGAGTAGTAATTTCCTTCACAGTGTAAATCAAAGAGAAGTTGATTTCCGTTGTTTATTACTTATCCTTGCCTCAGAGGGTGAAGAAAAGCAAGGTCCCACACTGGGAATAGTGGAAATCTTGGAATTTTCTCTTATTTTTCACACTGATGTACAGACTGTGTACTGTTGTCAAACATAACTGGTATGGCTGCAAGAGACCAAACTGCTTTGGACTGCTTACAAATAACTTACTCTGTGGTAAGCCTGAAATCTTTGCGGAACATGAAGACCGGATAAAATTTTTTTACCTTTTCTGCTATTGGCTGTAGGATTCAGTCCTCATTCCCAGTAACAATAGGTAAGCTAAAAGTATGTACTTGAGAATGTATCAATCAGTCTCTAAACTAACATCTTTCTGAACATGATGGTTAAAAACGTTTTTGGAACAAAAAGAGTTACTGAATCTGGCAGTCAGGACGCGAATTTTTAATCCATTTCCTGCTAGTGACCTAAAGAGCTTGAACTGTTAGTTCTGTGAAAAGCTATTTTATAACACGTGTGAAATGGAGGAACAGTTATGCTGCATTAAAATTAATTGGTATTTCTGAAATTGCAGACACTTGGAAGAAAATCAGATCAGTGTGATAGAACGTGGAGCATTTCAGGATCTAAAGCAACTTGAACGACTGTAAGTATCTCATGTTCAATACTTCCACATAGTCTGGCATTTTTCTACCACACTTCCAATGATTGCTTGTATTTCGTGATTAAAAACAAACTCTTAAAAAAAGAAAAAAAAAAAAAAAAAAAGACAGAAAATGACCAAAGTGAAATGGTACCTTCCTGAATTAAAGCATACTCTTAAACAAAATTGACTTGATATTATGTGATAGATCATGCTTGAAAGAAAATGTACAACCACTCAACAAGGAAGTCAGAACCATCATTGGCACTGGAGTCTGGACAACATTTTTGAAAGAACTTTATCGTGGCAACTTTTATAACTAGTATGTACATGAAGAAAGATTTGTTTATAATCCTTATTTATAAAGTTAAATAAAATTTAATTAGATTAGATTCTAATGGAAATTGTAATTGTTCTCTCTGAGAACCAGAGTATTTCTAAAATTGCTTTTGGTCATAATTTTCTTTTTAGCTCCATTTCATTTAAGGTTGCATGGTGCCACTGATAGATACCAATAGATTCCAGGATATCGTGCTGGGCTTGGTGGAGGAAACTAGACAGTCAGATTTCTTCTGCTTTTGATGGCAATCAAAATAAATACAATTTATTAATTTAAAAACCACCTTAATGCAAAATTGAGCTTGTAGGAAATTATGTCTTGCAGGAGAGTGAAGTTAAATATCAGTAAATGCAAAAGTAATACTTTTTCAAATTGCTACTCTTATTTGGGTCATGAAGCATTGTCATGAATCTAGGTTAATTTTGTTCGCTTATGGTAGGAGAAGAACTGAATTTCTGTAATACTGAAATACTTCTGGGAATTACTCTTTGTAGGTGACTATAAAGAAATAACGTGCTGGTTTGGAATGCTTTTTTGATAACTGAAGAAGCAGATTTCTTTTATGCTTGATAATCTGTAAGGCATTTGTTGGACTTTTCTAATTGATTTTCTCACCAACATAGCTTTAAAGAGTTAAGTTCACAGTAGCAATTGTTGAAGAGAACTCTGGAGTATTGAGCATATGCTGGGCTAAAGCTGTTTCGCATGGTTTCAGGATTAGGCTTTTATTTAAGTTGTTTAATTGTTGCACTGATCTTTTCAAAATGAATTAACTCATGGTTTTTTCTTCATTTACAAAGCTACCTTATTAACAGTAAGGGGGGTGAGTTTCAAATTCTAATTACAGGCCACTTTTCCAATTCCTAGACCTATATTGCAGGGCAAGAGTTCTGTCACGACTGATTTCACACTTCTTAGTAGAGGTAGGGAGACTAAATAAATAAATAAATAAATAATTATATACACATTTCTTAATTTTCCAAAATTGAGCACTGCCTGATGCTGCAGAAAACAGCTTGTTCAGGTTATACCTTGTCTGTGACAGTCAGTACCCTAACTACCAAGTTTCAGTTTAATGAAATTATCAGATTTAATTCAGATAAATTTAGTTCAATTATGAAATGAGTTATGAAAAAAAGTCTGGGAGTCAGACCTGCTATCAGGAACCAGAAATGATAAATACTAAAGCACTCTCTTAATGTGTTGCTTTTCTGTAGAGCTTGCTCTCCTACCAGATGAACGTAATGCATCTTGTGAAACCAGAAGTTAGGAAATATGATACCTTTAATAGCATCTGCTTGAGTATGTGATGTTGGAAAGTCTCTCTCTCTTTCCTTTTCTTTCTTTCTTTCTTTTTTTTTTGTTTGAACTCTTTAACTTGGCCTGTTAAACACACTCTCTCTGCTTCTCTTTTAAGATTGCCTGTCATTAAAATATTTCCTAAATGAATGTAGTACGAAAGGGAGGCCTGGAAACTCACAACTTTTTGTCGGTGTTTTAGCTTAAATCATCTTTAAGACAGAACTATAAATCTGATATATATATATTCTTTTATTTTATTTTTTTGCTATGACTCAGTAGGCTTAGGAAAATGAACTGTGGAAAATTTGGCATAACTTATAAAGGCTGAATTGCAACATTTTAGGTAGTATTAAAGCTATTTTGTTTAGTATTGTTAAAATTGCAAAATGTTAATGAAGAAAGTATGATGGTTGAATTAAAAAGAAATTGGCTTTTTTCCATTTAATTTCTTTCAAATAACAAATAAAAATTGCATATATTGCTTCAATTCTGGAATAACATTCGTTTTTGATCTATTGAAAGGGATGCAAAAAGTAACCATTAAGTTTTTTTTTGAAACAAAGCAGCTGCATTGAGTCTGACTTTAAAACAGGAGCAATTTTGATATATGGTATTTTGCCAGGAATAAAAGTTTTAATTCAAAGTAACAGTTGAATTATATTGTTCCCACACTCCTCTGTGGAAGTGATTGAAAGGGCACAGAACATAACCTCAGGTGGATATTATTTTAGATTGGCATAGTTTCACATGTGTGGATATTGAAACGAATTCGTCAGCATTAATGAAGTAAATGAGCAGTTTTGTTTGTGAAATGTGTTGTATGGCTCTGCATAACAGTAAGCATGTTTTGAATAAAATATCTCTACAGTTGTTCACTACTGCTCTCCCAAACACCATAATGATGTCTCTCCACTTACTTGGGTCTCATTGTTTATAACGTGTTCTAATTTTTTTAAATGGGAGATTAATACTTACAATATAGATGGAGCATCTAAAGGCATGACTTAAGTAACAGAAGGCAAGATGTTGTAAGAAATCATATATTTCTTAGTGAAGTCTGGCAGTGTTGGTTCAAGGAAGCACATAGTGCAGGGTATGGCAAAAGAACAGAGAAACTGTGTGTGGAAGATAGAAGCCACTGCTTGCACTGACTCTTCTTTAGTTTTACAGAGGAAAGCTGAAGAATAAGCAGTGGTTGCTTATTGCTTGTTTTGGTTTCTTCTACCATTGCCTCGTATAGAAATGTGTTGTTTTTTTGTGTAAGTTGTTCTTTTGAGTTCTAAGATTCAGAATTATTGACAATATCCACTGGTGCTCAGCACATTGGAAAACCAGGAATGCTTTATTCCAGGTAATTTCAATAGTTTTGCTCTAAAACACAGGTGATGTAGCTGACCATAAAATGTTTGTCAGTTAATATACAATATTAATAGATTTAATTGGTCCAAACATCTTACTGTCTTTTATTTATTCTGATGGTGTTGGATGTCAAACAAACTGACAGTGCTTTTGTGCAGTGCAGTATCAATTCAGACAATTTATAATACTTCTAGACGTTACGTGCTAATGCAGGCTTATATGTCTGAGGTGCTAGAATGACCTCAGAATGTCTCCTCCATGGCTAGTTAGCAGCTTTTCTAGCTGTCAGCTTTTATTTGGCTCCAGAGTGCTGCTTTAGAAAAGGTATGACAAAGTAACATTGACTGATAGACTTTGCAGCGCAGACATATGCATCTGTCCAGTAAGCATTTAAGTTATGGAGATACTTTGCTAAAACTTGAAGTGCCAGCTGTAAATTTGGCATCTGCCCCCCTTGTCAGTAATTATTTTAGAGCATCACTTGTTGAAGTACAGAAGGCTTCAGATTCTAATTCTTTTTAAACTTGTTCCATTCTGCAGTTTTTTCCTAGTAGTTAAGTGAAAAAGGTCTGACTTTGATCTTTTCTGGTTTTGTTTCTGCGGTTTTGAAGTAGTGTGCGTATGCCCATACAAAGGTAGTTTGTACTGACAATGAATTATACCCAAATTTATTTTGAATTTTGACATTTTGGCTATATGCTGTGATGTTAACGTGTGTAAAATGCGAAGATAAAATTATTACAAAATTTCGTATGCAAAGAGGAGCAAGAGGAAAGAGGCACACTGGTGGGCCTAAAAGATGAACTGAAATTTCTTTCAGAGCCAGATGTCACACGTTTATGTGAAAAATGATGCACGATCTAAGACACCAGCTGATCCTGACTTCTCCATAGCCAACTGCCAGAAATTGTCACGTAACTGTATTATCTTCAAAAGGCTGGACTTTGGCTGATGGCTGGTTCTTTCTACTCAAATCAGTGTCTTTAGCTAGCATAAAAGATCTCAACATCTGAAAACACTAAAACCATGTTTTTGTTGTTTAAAGGAGTGGGGAAAATGTATAAGCACGGCCAAATCAAATCTTTTCAAAGTTAGGAAAATTAATTAGCTTAAAAAAAAACCAAATGCGCAAAAACTAGAACCAAATTTTAACCCTAGCATATATGTATATGGTTTTGGTTTTGTATGTGCTAAGACCAAGGTCAGAATGGCAATTGTATTTGACCTTTAGCAGAAGAGAAACCACTGTGTTTTGGATCTCTGTAAGCTGCTTCCTAAATGCTTGATTAACGGTACTGAAGTCAGTTTATTTGGTGTAGTACTGTCAAATTTGTATTAGCGACCAAAGATGCTAAGGAGAAGAATTGTAATGAGATGCTTCACAATCTGGATTTAATATATTGAGATTGAGTAGGCTTTAAATAAATCATGTAATACAAAAAGCATCTTCCATAATTAACAGGAAGAGTGGAAGTTTGCTAAGTGCTTCAGAGCAGGCAAAACAATAAAGGCATTGGACAGTTCTCTGCTGTTGTAAACAAAAGCTTATTGCAAATCTTTGGCAGCGCAGACAAATCTATGGTGTTTATACAAGGTTTGCAGTGTGTGCAGTTTAGAAGAATTTCTGGAATTGCACACATGATGCTTTTTTCACTTGTGAAGCCATATGGATTTGTAAATATGAAAGACAGTTTGCATGTAACCTTTCAGAAGGAAGCTTTGTTTTCTGTCTGCATTTCCCTATGACATTTTGGATAACATATCCAGTTTGAGATCGGTAATCATGAAATGTTTATCTGGAAATGCAGGAGATTGAAATTGCAGTCAAATGGATTTAGAGCTGTGAGCTGATATTTCATCAATTTCATTATTTACATACTTCCTTCTTCCTTCTCAAACTGAGGTGCGTAAGTTGGGTTGTGCTTGGTTTGCTACCAAACTACTGAGGCGCATGATGTGCTCCAGGAGTGCAAAACATCACCCTCCTTTCTGTGCCCTGCTC